GAATATTAAGGAAAAGCAGCAGTAGATTTAGTGCTTAAATGCTATAAATTTACTAGAACTGGAAAAATATTAAAAATAAAGGCATTTTAGTAACTAAATGTGTTTCAGAACGTAATGATAAATAAAGAAATATATTAAAATATAAGTATATTAAAAAGTAAAATAAAATTGTGCGTTGATCGGAATATGAATGTGTTTTTTGCAGCAAATTGAAATGTGTGTCGTTTATGCATTTAGGAGAAAGTGTTGTAGGGATCTGGTCAGATATTCCAGCTTCTTATTAATTGTGATAATTTAGATATAATAAAAGTATTAAAAATGTAAATTAGTTTAATGTTATTTTTGCTTGCTTCTCTACTTTGTTCACTCCATTTTATTTGAACCGTAATGTTTTGATAAGCATGGAGCTTTATGCTGAACCTAGGGTTAACACGAAGCAATTATAAATTTTGATTATTGAAGACTTAGTATGAAATAAATATACCAGTTTATTGAATAACTCTTTTGAACTGTATTGATCATTTTTTATGTGTAGATATTTCTTCCCTGGTTATTTTGTTAGGTTGTGTATTAGTGCATTGAATTTATGGCTATCTCTAATTTGGGACTTTGGAACAACTGTGTGTTTAGTTTTGGTAATTTATAGTGTTTTCAAGGAAGATAGCATTCTTAAGAAATATGGGAATGAATCAGTACTGCGTTATTTGGAAAAAACGTAAGTTTTGATTGTTCTACCAAGGCGCCAGAGAAGATTATTACTCTTGATTTTCAGGTTATAAATTTAATAATTTGAACTTGAACTGGATAACTTTTAAGTAATTCAATTCAAGTTCTTTTCTTATTTTTTGTGTTTATTTAATTAAAGAGATTTAGATTAAGCCTCCAGTTCCTAACAGCGTATCACATAATCATTTCCTCTTCTTGTACCAGTGATAGAGAGACGTTTAGCTTAACTTAAACATGAAATTTCTCTAATTTTCCTTTTAACATAACACTTTTATTTTATTTACAGCTCTGATAACGAGAAGTGAGTTCACTTAAATGTTTCGCTATTAAATGTTGCCGGTGAAGAATACAATCTGTAGTATACCCAAAACATTTGATATCTATGCTTTCAAATGTCTCATAAAACCATTGTAGCGTCGAACTATTGCTAGAATATCATCAGTAGAAACCACCAATATTTTGTTCAAGGAATTTATTTCTGTTCAAGTAATATCTCATAATAAAAAATAATGTTTCTATTTCAGTTTGTAGATATTGATTAAAACACTCATGCAAGATTTGTAGATCCCTTAAGGAAAGCACATAAAGTGGGAAGTAATATTTCAATCAGTCTTAATTCCTATTGACAAAATGCTTATAAATACTTTGAATATATAATACAAGAATATTTTAAATGTTTTTACTAAACTGTTTTTATGGCGTCAAATCTTTCGATGATACATTTTAATACACTGCTGGCCATTAAAACTGCAGCACCACCAGGAAGGAATGATCTGACGAGCGCCAAAATAACATGACAGGAAGAAGAAGTTGGGATAATCAAATTATTAGTATTTCAGAGCATTTAGACGACGCAAGTTGGTGAAACGACATCTGAAGCACTGCATAAAAGAAATGTTGTGTAGTGGATTTCTCATTCGGAAAACCGCTTTATAAGGTCCGCGTTCGCTTTAGTTGAAGGCAGACCGTGTTATTGTGTTATGCCTTTCTTCTTATTATCGTGTTATGCCTCGACTAATAAGAAGAGAGGCTTAGCAGTAAGTATCGGAATTCGATAAAGGCAGGAACGTTGCCTACCGAGAGTGTGGATTATCGTTCAATGATATCGCCCGTCGCACTGTTCGGCATCCAACCACTGTCATGCAAATATGGAATCAATGGGTTGCTGAGGGTCATACTGAACGGCATGCAGGATCTCAAAGTTCTCCCACGACTAACGCCCGAGAAGACAGCCTGTGTGAGGTCAGCCCTACAAAACCGTACAACCACATCGCGGACCATTAATCAGGAAATGCGCATGTTCACAGCATGCCCAGTATCCCCTCATACGATGCATATGATGCATGGACATGCAGTAGCATGGTTTAGCATGGACATGCAGTAGCATGAACGATGCAGTAGCATGGTTTGCAGCAGCATGGACTATCAGCACGGCGACCCTTACTACGGCTTTCCTTGACAATGCAGCATAGGAGGAAACGGCGACTCTGGTGCGCCAAACGAAAAAGCTGGATACAGGAGTGGCAAAATTATTTTGAGACAAGTCTCGGTTCTGCGTGCAGTATTCTGATGGTGGTATACGTATCTGGAGGCTACGAGGAGACCGCACGTTGCCCACTAGTATTCAATGTTAGAATGGGGGCCCTACACCTGGTGTGATGGTTTGAGCAGCCATTGGGTACACGACATGCACATCTCTACTTCGGACCGATGGTAATTCGAACGCAGATAGGTACACTTCTGGCATCTTACTTCCAGTGGCTGTGCCCTACCTTCTAGACCTGCCAAACGTCATCTTCCAACAAGATAATGCAAGACCACATGTTTCACATCGTGTTCTGACCTTTCTCGATACACAGGGTATTCGATGGCTGCCCTGGCCTGCAAGGTTTCCAGATCTGTCACCCATTGGAAACTTCTGGTCATGGGTTGCTGAGAGATTAGCCCGCCACCCCTCTCCAGCTAATACGGTTGATGAAGCGTGGCATAGGCTTGAGTCAGCATGGAATGAGGTGCCCGTTTCTGTCATCTAAGCTCATTTCGACTCCCTGCCCAACCGGGTAAGGGCCGTTTTAGCTGCCAAGGTTGGCAGCTATTTCTACTAATTTCGCACTCCTGTAAACCCCCAAAGTGCTTACAAATTTAATCATTTTTTCTTCATGCCATACACTTTAAGTACAATAAATATCTTTTTTTCTGCATTGGTTTTCCTCCATGGTGTTCCAATTATAATGGCCATCCGTGTACTTTAAACATAGTGATTTTAGACTGGACACGTGCACCTTCGATGACAATACACGATAGTGCAATAATTAAAAATACCATCTCTCCTTCTATGCACTTGCGAGGCTGGGTTCAAAATACAAACAGAAACAATGCTTTCTTGACTGAAATTTTGCGTTCAACCAGCATTTAAGAATCTAGCATCGAAATAACAAACAGATCATGTTACAACAGCAAATATCAACTTACTTATGTGACCGTAGGCCATGGAAAAAGGGTTTCTGAGCAAAAGCCCTATCAATGTCTACTAAACTTTTAGAAAAACATACCGTAAAAATAGTTTTTAAGAGTCCGTGTGTATGAGTCTTTAAAGGCGAGATAGTAAATTTCACTAAAGATCCAGTAACACTTCAAATAAAAACAACTATTATATCAGTTATATCGAAATAAAGGTTGTGGCGATAACAATAAGTGAGGACATTGATATAATTTATAGTATCTCTGAAGAGAGAAGTAGTCGATTGTAAAGGAGGAATCCTTCACGTTGGTCGAAGTTCAAGTGAATGAGTGATGTGAGTTTACGAGGAAGGAATTAATTCATTATTATTCAGTCATGAACGTCACTGCGCGAAGGCGCCAAATTATTAAAGCTCTTGAATTTAAGATGATAAATGAAATGGCGGAGGTTGCTCATTTTTCAAGTGATGTTGCCGAAGGATATACTGTCAAACTCACTAAGACCTATGAGACCTCGCCTTCTGAAGGTTTTGATGATAACTCTATTTCTTCGGCAGACAACTCCGACAAAGAGAAGGACTCCAAACACGAACTCTCTTCACACAGTGAGGAACGTTGGGAACAGTCAAAGAACACTGCTAAACAGTTGGGTATGCCAGATATGAGCACTCCAGTAGAGCTGCGAAATTCATTTTGCTCATTACTTGAAGAAAATTGTTTCCGGAAGGAGCGATTGTTCTTGCCGCCCTGATTGGAAGTAAAAGACGAATCTTTCAATCAGAAACTCCCGTCTTCCTTCCACGATCTGATGTTAAGTAGCTGTAAAATAAATAATTTTCTTTTAAAATAACAACATTCCTAATTTTCAAAACTGCATTTTGAAACTTGGGAAAATCTCAAGATAGTGCAGTCCAGCCAAATCTCTCTTTTCTGACAATTTATTAATTGCTTCCTCTATAGAATGTTAGCAGCTAAATGTTTTTACTATTACGCATTTCTACATGAACAGATTCAAACATATTGTTTGTAAAAATTTGAGATTTCAAGATAAGAAGACCTTCTTTAAACGAAAAACATAGTCGTATTTATGTTTAAAAGTGGAAAAGGAAAATGCCTTTGTAGGTAGCCTTCGCAGGAAAACCCGAGTCGAACTATCATTGCTCAGCGGTCTTATCCTCTCAGCTCCTAGAGGATATATTGACAGTTTAGTCAATTTTAGGTGAATTTCATGTTTTTAAATAATTTGCGGATGTTCACCTACATATTTTATGTGGAAGGACCGCGGCATTTTTATTCTTGGAGCGCGTTTCAATATATAGTTTTGTTAAACTTCAATGTGCTATCGAGGTACTTGTCACAATACTAGCTTTATCTCATATTTCAATCAGTTTCTGTTTCGAGCATCTTACGTCATTGTGCTTTTTGTAAGCTTCAGCATGCAAGCACGGTATTTGTTAAGGTGCTTATAATTTATTTCCTCTTTTCATTAATTTCTATATTTGAACTTTTTCTTTTCTATGAGTTTGTTTTCCGTACAAGAAAGTATTATTTTAAATAATTTCAATGCTGCCTCTCGCGTTTTTAAGTGCTGCTCAAAATGTAAGTATAAATCTTAAAAAAAAAAAAAATTAATGTGATCGTGGGGGGAAAATTACTAAAAATTTATTTATTAGAAAAGGAAAAAATATTATCAAAATTAAAATATTTAATTTATTCTGCTATTCCTTTTTCTTCGTAGATCATCTTGGTTCTTTAAATAGAAGAAGCATATTTATTTATTTATTTTTGGAAAATACATCAATAAAAAGCAAAAATAAGAAATTAAATATATGTGCGTCATTTATTAATCCTTTAACAACAGATATAAAATATTTAGAAAGAAAATATGCAAAATGCTTTTCCTTTACACATTTAACTCCTTTTAACGAGCACATGAAACATAAATGCTTGAAAAAATTAATTTATAATGCATTATAGTTTTTCTGCTGCAAAGCAATATATGCTGTCATGCTTTTGATAAATTCCACATTCATGGGGATAATGTAATTTGAAAGTGATATTTCCAAAGCCTGCTTCTTTTAGAGCGCGCACAATATCCTGCACATTATGATGAAGGAATGGAAACCATTTCTCGCCTACTTTCCACCCTCCTGCATTCTCGAGTCCTGCAGCAATCAGTCCTCCTCCTTTTCTAAGCAGCTTATTGATTCCCTTTAGAGCTGTAAGGAAATGGTGAGAATCTGGACACGCAGGTTCTAGTGTGAACATTGTTATAACTAAATCATAAGGCGGTTGAGTTTCTGGGGAAATTAATTCCTCCATCTTCAGAATCTCATTTGAAAGGAGGTCACATGAAACAACGCATTTCACAGATTTTCGAATTCTTGATTCAAGTGCATTTCTACCTTTCTCCAGTTCACTAGGAAGGAAAGAAACATCGTTTAATAAAATAATTTGGGTATTTGCCAAACATTATAGGAGAAACGTAAAATTAAAATTTGCATAGAAGAAAAAATATATCTGATTGTACTACTTTGTAAATTGTAACTTAGTACAAAATATAATGCAGACTATTAGTCTAGTTATATTATGCTTATGCCAGAGCACATAAGTGATATCCAAGTTACAGAAGTGATTCTTCCATGAACTACTTTCTGGGAGAAAGTGGGTCATGGTGCACTACTGGAAATCCATGAAAAAGGCTTCATGGGACCAATATTTTTGCTTCTATTTCAACACGAGTCGAAGTACAAGAGTTCGACGATCTCATCTGTTTGTGTGCTGTTGATCTGAGAATCAATAAATCTGCATTTAATTGACTGCTTTTGATCTGCATTTGTTGTATTTAAATTGCAGTGTTTATGAAAAGCAAGAGTCAGAGCACTTACATGAGACGAAATTCCAACTTGAATATGAAGTTACAACATTACAATTGTATTTTGAACATTGCATTGTATTTTACCAGATAATTTTGGTTTGAATTAGACATCACATTTATATGTTTAAAATACCGTATGAGCAAATGACAGCAATTAAAATTTACAGAAGGTATTTTTGGGCGTTTTCATGCTGCCAAAAACGCAAACAAGATCAATTTAAGATTATAGAAAGAGTCTAATTAAGATTATAGAAAAAGTCTACTTAAGATTTGTCTTTCGAATTACAAATATCACCTTAAAGAAAATTTGGTGCGTGTTAAGTTGTGGTGTTTTGAAGATATCGGTGACTATAAATAATTTTCAAATGTCAGCCAACTGGAAACTGCGGCACTTGTGAAAACGTGTACTACGAGATTACACTATATGTTACGAAAGGACAGCATTTTATTTGTCAAGTGGTTAAGCGAAGGTCTTAAGAGCTATATGTTTATTGAAAGTACCTTTTCGACAATTCTTTCCATGAAAGGTTAGGCAATTCTTAATCAGTGGGTGACTTCGTAACTTCTAATCTGTTTCCTCGATCTTGAATGATGTATCGTTAAGCACTTACTATCGTATTCCTTGTGATTTTCCTATCTGGTGGAGACCTAAAAATAGTCCGAGATATCTAATTACATGAAGTAGATCTCCAGTAAGAAAGTGAAGAAGACAGGTTTATCGAAACTCTTAGAACAAATTCGTCGAATAATGTTATGTAAGCGTTTAAAGCTTTTATTTCTGTTATTGCAACTCCAGTAATTCCTGAAACTATAAGAGAGATTTTTATGTAAAAGGTATTATGTCGACATCATATTATGTCGATTTCACTTAAACTATATATGTGTAACTACATACGAACCTTAGCAGATAGCCCTTAGGATAATGCCTTTTCTGTAATTAAATTTACCAACCAAGTTATAAATGTCATTATAGAATTAAATTGATTGCAGAGAAAGCATGTGTTAAGCGCTGAGAAAAAGTTCGATACTAGGAATATATGGATATTATAGAAAAATTATACTAATTGCATCATATGCTCACTGCTGTTGTTATTGATGTCAGGTTAGGAGATATTAGACTTCTTGAAGCCGAGGTATAATTAGACTACATTTAACTATTTGTATCTTACGGAACCTTGTTTTCTGAAAATATGTGACTAATTTTTATAAATAATGTCTGTTTTGTAATAAAAATGAAACAGTTACAAGTTCTTCACAAAACCATTCATTTTCTGAATTTGCGTACAACTTTCTCTTTGTCTTCGTAATTCATTTGTCAGTTTAAACATTCAGGGAATCAAATAAGGAGTTGTTAGGTACCTTCCTAATATAACTTTACTGCTTGTGGTGATAACCAGCTATTGACTATCATTTCCACTTCTACAGACACATCAGTAGTTTTCTTTTCTCGATCCTCAAATCTCCCGTTTTCTTGAATTTTGGTCTCCACCAAATCGTCAGTAATTACAGAGGGTTGAGTAGAGTGTTTTTTTTTTTTTTTTTTTTTTTTTTTTTCAGTAAAATTTTTTCGACCTTGTTTAAAAAATATCACCCATGCTTACGCTTAAAAGGTGTTCACAAACAGAAATTGTTTAAAAAATAACTTATGGATCATATGGCCTTGTTTAAAAAATAACTTATTCTTTCTGGAAATCCTTTTAATGGATCAACATTGTTTTTCTTAATTCTCCATCTTCATCCTAAATGGATCTAAACTGAACTGAGTATATTCGGCAATTACATGCCTCGACATGACACGCGTTACTGCAACAAAACTGAAACAAGACAATTATTATACGTCTCAATATAGCATTCTTTTCTTCCTGTTAACTGGAAATCATGCCAGCATACTGCATTTGGGATTTTTGATATTTAGCTATAGAATCCTGCCCTTTAACGAGCATCCCTTCTTGTAAAGTAATGTTACTGAAATATAATTAAATAAATAAAACCTTTTAAGAGAAATATTAGCAAATATATTCTAACTCTCTCTCTGTACGGTGAGCCTAAAAATTTGATGTGTACACTACATGACTTCCTTGTACGGAATATTAAATTATACACATTTTTTCTTGCATTTCGTTTAAACTTATTGGATTGAATTAAACCTACTTCGCCGACAGCGCATAAACCACAATAGAATAAATGCATTCTCTAACATTCACAATATTTGTTTATCATACCGACACTCTGGCGCTAGATTCACTTAACAGTATTATATTTCGTTCATATTATAACTCAGAATGCACAAAATTTATATCATTTAAAGAATTATCTAATCGTTGCCACATGTTCTATTCAAATATTATAATAAATCTAGAACGATGTCTAAAAGAAATTAAGCAAACAAAACAAAAACGAAACAGTTTTTCACAGACGATTGAGTATTTCTCATTCAATTAATTCAGTTCTCATTTCGCGCCAAGGCAAAAAGACATAAAAACTCAAAATATCTGTATTAAAAATTACGAAGTAAATCTTAAACACTTGTTTCCTCGAAAACATTCCAGCATGATTTAATTCATAATAATAAATGAAGGCGTTATCTTTGTTCTTGCGAAGCTACGTTTCTGTAGATTGGCAACAAATCCACTATCCTGCTGCTTCAAATGTAAACAAGCAATGGCGCCATCAAAAAAATTATTAGGCTTAGCGGCACTTAAATAACTTTAAAATTGTTGATAATTCTAAAAATATTGCATACAGATTTACTAAAGGCATACAAACCTTAACCGAAGATAAAAACAACATAATTCAATCATTTTTATTATAGTATTTTAGTTAGATGTATAAAAGAATTTAAACAACAACAACAAAAAAAAGTTTTTCACAGACGATTCAGTAGACAATTTTAATTCACAATAATAAATGAAGGCGTAATTTTCCTTATAGCGAAGCTTACTGTCTCTAACTTGGTAACAAATCCACTATTCTGCTGTTTCAAATGTAAACAAACATGTCGGCCATGGTATTTAAAAATTAGGCTTACTCGCACTTAAACAGGTTTTAAATTGTTGATAATTCTACAAATATTGCTTACAGATTTCCTAAAAACCTTAAGCGGAAGATAAGAACAACATAATTCAATCACTTTTAAAGCAAAAAATGCACAATTTACAAACATATAAGAGTAAAGAAACTGAGATTACTGAGCCGGGTAACAGAGTGGATGTATAATATAAATATATTTATATACGTTTGGCGCCGCCGATTGCAACCAAAATACGAGGTGCACATCTACATGTTATAATAGTCCTAAATACAAAATTTCAACGTTCTGAAGCTACTCGTTTTTGAGTTATGCGAGATACGTACGTACAGACGCCACGAAAAATTCTCTTCAGAATTCATTTTAAAGCAGTTTTATAATTTTTTTGAAGGGAATTCTTTTATTCTGTCCTTACGTACAGATATCACGCAAATACATCGTTAAATTGCATTCGAAAGCGGTCAAAATGGATATTTTCGTTGAAATATGCTGCCTGAAACTTTTCACGATTACAGTTCTTCTTGTTTACTTCGTACAAGGAAGTAAACAAATACTTTTTTTTTTTTTTTTTTTCTTCATTTTTCTTTCGTTGTACCCAAAGACATATTACTTGTTGCCTAACTGAGCAAAGTGAAAAAGCAAAAATTCATATAAAGATACGTCTTCCTTTCGCACATCGAACTCGAAAGTTTTGAAAATCTAGAGAAATTTTACTCTTTTTTGACAATGCTTTATAATTACTAAACTCACTACTCTACTATCGATATGCAATTGTTCCTAATGCGAATTTTGGGGCATGAGGAACACGAATAAAGTTTAAAAACTGTAATCCCAAATTATTCATTGACTGCGCAAAAGCTCAAAAAACACAACTTTTTTGTAAAATTAGTTGTAATATTCCGTAATTTCATATAATTTTACTTTTTACTTCCTTGTACGAAGTAAAAAGGAAGTATTGTAATCGCGGAAAATTTCAGGTCTCATTTTTCAACGAAAATATTCTTTTTGACCGCTATTGAATGCAATTTAACGATGTTTTTGTGTGACATCTGTACGTAAGGACAGAATAAAGGGCACTTCTCCCCAAAAAAATTATAAAACTGATTTAAAATTAATTCTGAAGAGAGTTTTCGTGGCGTCTGTACGAACATATGTACGTACGTATCTTGCATAACTCAAAAACGACTAGCCTCAGAATTTGTGGAATTTGTTGAACTTTGTTCTCAGTGGATTTGTTGAAATTTTGTATGTAGGACTGCTTTAACATGTAGATGTGCACCTCGGATTTTGGTTGCAATCGCCACACCAAAAGTATATAAATATATGTATATATGTATATATATATATATATCCACTCTGTTACTCGGCTCAGTGGGCTTAGTTTCTTTATTCTTATATGTTTGTAAATTGTGCATTTTTTGCTTTAAAAGTGATTGAATTATAGTGTTCTTATCTTCCGCTTAAGGTTTTTATGCCTTTAGGAAATCTGCAAGGAATATTTGTAGAATTATCAACAATTTAAAATCTGTTTAAGTGCGGCTAAGCTTAATTTTTAAATACCATGGCAGACATATTTGTTTACATTTGAAACAACAGAATAGTGGATTTTTTGCCAATCTAGAGAAACTAAGCTTTGCAACAAGAAAGATAACGCCTTCATTTCTTATTGCGAATTAAAGCATGCTTAATTCCATTCTGGAATTTTTTCGAGGAATAAGTGTAAGATTTACTTCGTAATTTTTAATATAGATATTTTGAGTTTTTATGTGTTTTTTGCCTTGTCGCGAAGTGAAAATTGAATTTATTGAATTAACTGAATGAGAAATATTGAATCGTGTGTGAAAAACTGATTCTTTTTTTTTTTTTTTTTTTTTTTGTTGTTGTTGTTTAATTTCTTTTATACATCTAACTAATGTACTATAATAAATTTAGATTTATTATATTATTTTGAATAGAACATGTGGCAACGATTAGATAATTCTTAAGATGATATAAATTTTGTGCATCTGAGTTACAAAATGAATGAAATGTAACGCTGTTAAGTGAACATAGCGCCAGAGTGTTGTTATGAGTAAACAAATATGTTGAATTTTAAAGAGTGCATTTATTCTGCTGTGTTTTATGAGCTGTCGACGAAGTATATTTAATTCAATCCAATAAGCTTAAATGAATTGCAAGAAAAATGCGTATAATTAAATATTTCGTACAAGGAAGTCATGTGGTGTAGACATGTGAGATTTTCATTTTTAGTAAACAAACGGTGAATATATTTATCGTTTTCATTTTTGTTATTCAAAAGAGGACACTTTAAAGCTGGTTCTTTTTTGGATAATTCTGCCATAGTATATATTGATAGGATGGTCATCCTAATCAAGTCGTCTCTTACATCACCGCTACACATCATTTTAGATGCTTTGGTCAAAGGTTTGACACATCGTTCTACAGATGAGTATGACAAGGGTAGGTTTGAAAATCCAGTTGTAGTGAAGTGCCAGTCGTTAATAGATTTTTGATGGCTCATTTCAAGGAAAGCAAAAAATCTGTGGCAAAATCATCCAAGTGAATAGCTGACGAATTACAGTTTATTGAAATATAGGAGACATATAGCCTACTCAGTGTGTAATTCGAACTAGTTGGGTATAACATCACTCTTCAAACCAGAGACACACGATGAGGTCCAAGGTCCTATCACTCATGAAACACGGCCCTTTCTACATAATGTTTGATAAATATAGTAACCATTCAAAAAAGCATTGTAGTGAAAATTACGAAAAATGGCTATTTTTTTGTTTCGATTGTAGTTGGCTGAATAATTATTTAAAAAATGACGAAACGCATCAAATTTTCATCATTTTTCATAACTTTGAGGGTGGTGCGCGGAAACTATAATTCTATTCGAATTACGTTTTCCCCATTTTGCTTAGCTAGATGATAGACAGCTTTTTCGGGATAAAATGATAGAAAAATAAAAATAAAACTGTTTGTTTATCATACCCTAATATTATACATATATATAAATGAAAAGTTAAATTTTATACGTGCAGATACCTTTTAGCTAATTTTAAAATAACGTAATCAAGCGCTAAATAGCTTAAATTTAAACTTTAAATTACATAAATCAATAAACTTACTAAACCTTTACCAAAGGAAAGGTCAGACTCGAACACTTCAGTAGGTCATATTTATAAAATCCAATGAACGTTTCTGTGCCCTATAAATGTTCCAAATATTCTTTTAAAATTATTTAAAAAGTTTTTGCAGCACTCACAGAAGCCAGCTCCAGCGCTTATGGATTTTATATTAATAAATTTGAGCTAATCCAGAGTAAAACAGAACCACCTGGGCAAAACCGCTTAGATATGTAAAGTAAACTTTAAATTGGCAACATCCCCTTAATTCTTCATTTTAGTTTATTTTTTTCCTCTTTCTATCCTATAAATAGTTTTTTTTTTTTTTTTTTTTTTTTTTTTTTTTTTACAAATGGCGGGCACTTGCCTATAACGGCATTGGCCACTACAAAGGCCAATAATGGTGGCCATTTTATTCTGGAGGCACCTAATAGGCGGCCACATCTACCATCCTATGAAGGGACAGGCAATTTTACATCTATGCCTTCTCCGGGATTCGAACTCGGGCCCTTTGATATCGCAGTCAGTCGCCCCTAACCACTATACCGTCCGAGTCCTAGAAATAGTAATAGCCTACAATTACTTATCAGATAATGAATGCCTTCGTAGAGGATTTTCTAACATGCAGAATACCCCGTAAAATCATCAATGCAGCCAGCCTTTTCGCGAAGCTTGGACCCGGGTTGGGCTAATAGGTTTGTCTTACGGTGGTGGCACTTCATAGCGATTGCCTTAATAACAAATGTAAAGCAACTATTCCTTTGCTTTACATTTGTTACATTTACTTTTGTTTACTATTTGCTGTATAAACGTTTGTGCATCAAAATATTGTAATTCGAGACAAATTTTAAACATGTTCTTTCTACTGTAAGGGAAACACAGGAGCACATATTGAAAAATTTAATTTAAGATACAAAATGTAATTTTTCTATCAGAACTGTTGGAATATGGAATACTGCAAAATGAAAATGTACAAAAAACTGCGATATTGAAATTAGACAAACTGAAGAAGTGCTGCTTGTATGGTTGCCTGAAGAATTGTCATGCATATAGATCATCAGATTTCGGTGCATTCTAAAAATTTGGCTACTTCAGCTTAAGATGGTTGCGTTAATACATAAGTATCAATCTTACCACAGGTAAGCAATAATTTTATCTAGACAGAAATAAAAATAAAGGAAATCGGAAATATATGAGGATACAAGAATTGTAGCGCCCTTCCCCACCTTTTTTTTTTTTTTGGTTTGCAGGAGAACTAATCTAATGACCATTGTCTGTTTTCTGCCTAACGTCATGTTATTCTGTATTCTGTACTATAAAAGATCCAAAAAATTTGAACTAAAAATGACGAAATGAGATTTTAAAATAAATATTTCATTTGGTTTTCTAAAAGTATTAGCCCAGCAAGGCTTGTTTGGAATTTTGCGTCGAAAACTTTAAATGTCCATTTCACTTTTCAAATTGTTACCACCACCTGTGTTATATCGAAAGAAATTAAATAATGAAGAATCTGCATAAATGTATTCATGTTTCTCACATTTTCTCTCATCAAATTTTGAATAACTTAATCCTCCACCGAATATGGGCATCTGGAAGCCCTAATTTGAAATTTGTTTCACTATGGATTTCATATTTTGTAACACTTTAACGAATTTTTATTAATATAATCAACGATTTCAAAGCGAGCACTGGCAACACTGTCCGAAAAATAAATCTGTCTCCAGCGCGCGAGACTGTGTATCGGAAATTCTAAAATATGCTCATTGTAAAATTATATTGCGATATTGCTGTTGAATTGAATTTTATGATTTATGTGCCAAGAACATGATATTTAATAAATAAAGGCAACACACAAAACGTTAAAAAAACGCCCGTTCAGTGTAACGTAGAATCTGAAAGCTTTCAGATTTTTTTAAATCAAACTGATCTATGAAAATTATTTTTAGAATTCAAAGCATCTTAAACTGATTCAAAGTCTATATGACGAAGGTTATACATATTTTGTAAAGTTTGTACTTACCTTCCATATCCTTCAAGTTTAGCGATGATGTTAAGGAGTGGACTGAAGTCAAGATTTATATCACTTTTATGCCAGCGCTTGAGTATTTCTCGACTGTTTTTCGTAAACTCACTTTGGACAATATTTTCATAGTAAAAACTAGCAGATGCGATATTGTGAATGGTGGTTGCACTACCTATTTCGAGGAGCTTTGAACCTTCGAATTTTTCTGAAATTACAGGAATAAAATATTTAATCCAAAATAGGTTAAGATATATTTAGACATTCTGAAAACTCATATGTAATCAGTATGAAGCTCAAATCGGGAATAAATAAAAATATAAGTCTACAATACGGTGACATATATGAGACACTATAATATGAGACCAACATGGTGACAGTAGAAGAAAACTGGAGCCTGAAAACTTAAGATTTACAGTCAAGGCATCTTGAAGATTTAGAAACTTAAAAGAATTTTAAAAAAAATATAGGGAAAAAATTAGAAAATGTAAAAGAAGCATTTAAAAAATTTTAATTTATAGAAATTTAAGATTTAAAAATGCATTCTGTATTTCGGTATACACATTTAACACCCGAAGGAATTTTAAGCTAAAATATTATTATATGGAATATTAAGTTACGCTTTTGTGTTGAGGGAGTTGAAATGATTATTTAGCGTACTTAGTACAAGTACATATTACAGACAAAAATTTACTTTTACACTTCTTAACCACATACAACAGCAATTATCTTTTTAATTACTTAATAATAAGGAACAAATCGCCTTGAAGTAAAGTTTCTAATATTTTTATAATAACGTTAAGGAGATCTAGATTTCTTACTTGATTTTAGTACTTCTTGTACGAAAGCTAAGTAGAATTCGAAAAAGCGTTCTGCTGAAGGAAGTAAATCTTTTAGCTCTTCATTATATTCTTCACCTTTAAAATTTTCCGTATATACTTCCTTAGCATTTTCATCTACATAATCCATCTCTTATTACAGTTTGAAAATGCGAAAGAGTTATCTACGAGTGCTCTCGCTTTGTAAACAGTCCCCCGGCTAATTGAAAACTGTTTTGTCATTCAAGTTACCTCTTCAGAAGCAAATAAATTATCTACCTAAGTTCTTCGAATTAACGGAATCTTGGGAGAACTTTGAAATTGAAATCTCGAATGTTATTGGCTTAAGAAAAATGATAAAAAAAACCTAAATAATCAATATACTTAAAAACATAATAAGCTGGTATTTTGAAATGCAGAAGATATGAGAAAAGGGACTTATCGGAGAAACGTAATCAGATGACCGTTAAAAATCCTTGCACGTGGACTGAAAAAAAATGCATAATGTTTAGCGAATTTTAAAAACAGATATATTTATAATTTACATAGTTTTTTTTTTTTTACTTTAACTTAATTTTAATTTTTTAATTAAGAAATTCTTTTTCCGTGAATATCAGAAACATTCGAAGAGTACATAAGCAGATCTTGAATTTTATTACTTCGACAAAGTATAACAAACAGCAAAATGACAATATCTTGAGTATAACAAAAATTTTAATAATAATTTTTTCTCTTAAAAGTTTTGAAATCAGTAAGCAATTTCAAACTCAAATTTCAGTTGGTAAAATAAGGTACTAAGAAATTCTTCCCTTCCCTTGAGAATTGTATCTTTGCAGCATAATTTTAATAGCAATTCAAAATACTACAACAACTGAAAATCAACACTAGAAAATTAGCTCACCCCGTAGAATAGTAACAGGACTGTAAGAGCAAAACTTTTGTAATGTAAGCATATTACTATCCAGTTTGTATGTACCTGATAAAAATAATATTGTAAAGCAGTTTAAATGATATTGAAAATCCAGTCAATGTGTAAATGAATTACAAGTTTACTTTGATTATCTCAGTAAAAGTATTATAAATATGAATTCAGATAATGTTTAAATGTACACATAGCTGTCATGAATTTATGTAACTATCATATAACTTGTACAAGACTTGTACTTGTAGAACTTGTACAAGACAATGTTTGTAATCAACATATCTATGATTATACACAGGCCTTGTATGCCCATGTAATATTTATATTTTTACACGGAGGCAATATTCGCTTCTGCCAGGAAGACTTTTACAAGTTAGGTCAGTGGTTATTTCAGGCGGCGCTCAGTTGGTAAAATATAAATTATGTTAAAATTTCAGTAAAAAAAGGCACTGAAGTAGAGGTAAAGGCATTAAATATTTGATTCGACTTTTCCTTTTCATTTTACACACAAACAGAGACTTCTAGAAAACGTTATTACTTGGAAAAATAAAACTTGGACTAAGGTAGGTTATGTTATTTCAAATATGCCCATGGATGCCATTTGCCAAGCCCATAAGGGCTATCTGCATAAGGAAGAGAAATTCCTTCGTGGAGGACATATTAACTCGTGAAGGACTTGTTAGTTAGTTAGGATCTTTACCTTTACTACAAAGTCTAAAGCCATCACTTAAATTCAAGAATGTAATATAATTATGTTTGTGAAAACAAAGTTTAAATATTTTAAATTTAGAATTATATCTCACCAAGAAACATTATAAGGTATTTCTCCCGCCTTCCTAATGTGCCTTCGTGTGCAGTGGTTCTGCATACTGGGCCGGTATTCCAGAGGTCCGTAGTTCGATTCCAGGCGAAGGCGGATGCTAATTTTTCATCTTGTTTGCTTCCAAAAATCCTAATGTCTCTACAGTGGCCCAGCTAAAAGGTATTGTATGAGGATTCTCCCCACCCAGGATTTGGCGATTGGGTTCTCTAAAAACCCCAATCGCCCTTTAAAGGGGAGTATTTAAAGTATTTCTCCCGCCTTCCTCGCGTGCCTTCGTAGTGTAGTGGTTCTGCACGCTGCGCTGGTGTCCAGAGGTCCATGGTTCGATTCCCGGCGAAGGCGGTTGCTAATTTTTCATCTTGCTTGCTTCCAAAAACAATCCTAATATCTCTCTACAACATTATCCATAAAATATTTGAATTTAATGTTTTTATGAACATATACAATGAGATTTGGAAACATTTAAAATAAAAGCAGTGTAATGTTGTCATTGTTATTTACGTCATGTCCATAAATTAAGGATAATTCGGAGTCACGCAGAAATCGAACTCTAAAATAAATATATCACCTGTAAAATCACTACACACATCTTCAAGAATCATATGCAAATTTCGGGAAGTAACAAGATGACACCGATGGTACGTCACAATGACGAGAGTGTAAGAGAGCGATATATAAGGAATACAGGCAAAGAATAAATTGTTCGCAGGCGCTTTATAAGCATTTCATTGCAATAACCAATAGTTATGACACAAGGACGTATTGGATGATTTTTTTACGTGGTAGAATTATCGGCCGTCTGGAATGTGGGCGTACACAACTGGAATATCAGACGAACTTGGAATTGCCCAGAGCATCATCTCCAGGCTTTGGCAACGATTCCAAGATGATGGTAATGTGAGTAGACGTTACAGCACAGGTCTCCCCAGAGTTACAACGCCGAATGAGGACCAGTATTTGGCAGTTACTGCCAAAAGAAACAGACGGAGCACAGCCTCAGACCTGTCTCGTCAGCTCTTTTCAGCCATTAGTACGACAATTTCAAGGCAGACCGTGTACAGACGCTTAGGGCAGATTGGTCTATATGCTCGTAGACCTGTCAAATGCGTTCCACTTACTGCAACTCACTGTCGCGGTCAGCCTGGAGTAGAGAGCATGCATTGTGGACACCGGAACAGTGAGCTTGTGTGATGTTTTCCGACGAGTCCAGGTTTAGCTTGCGATCTGATTCTCGCCGGACTTTCATATGGAGAGCTCCAGGTACCCGTTACCACCAAGAAAACATCATTGTACGACACCGTTATTGTGTTGCAGGAGTGCTCGTTTGGGGTGGAATTATTCTGATTTCCAGAACTGACCTGCATGTTCAAATTGGAACCATGACAAGCCAAATCTATCGGGACGTCATTCTGGAACAACATGTACGCTTGTTTCTTGGCGCCATGGGCGCACAGTTTGTGTTTATGGATGACAACGCCCGTCCTCACCGTGCAAACATCGTAAGCGAATGCCTTCAATCGGAAGATATCACCCATATGGATTGACCAGCATTCTCACCGGACTTGATTCCAGTACAACACGTGTGGGACATGCTTGGCCGACAAGTTGCAGCCCCTCATCCTCCTCCTACATGTCTACCGGAACTTCGGAGAGCATTGCTTTTTGAGTGGTGTAATATCCCCCAAAATCAGATCGCTAATTTGATACTCAGCATGCCTAGGCGTTGTACGGACTGTATTGCATCGTCTGAGAGACATACAATGTATTAACAATCATACCAACCATGTAATATTGGTTTCTTTAAATAGGTGTTTTTTGTAATTTGCTCCAGGGAGAAAAAATCGCTAATTTTTTTAATATTTTCAAACATATAGCATCTTTTTTTGCTCTTTACCTTTTGTTTAATAAATAAGCTTTACAAATAAGTCAGATTTGTTTTGCTTCTAACTCTTCCTTTGCCTGATTTTGCATTATCCTTAATTTATGGACATGAGTGTATAAATTTAAATTGAAATCACGAAAACATATCCATAAAATTATGCATCATTAATGTGAAAAAATGGTATTATTTATGAATTCTATTTATTCAAAATCAAGTATTTACAAAAGATAAAATGCTGCCCTTGAGAAAAAAGATGTAGTTAAATTTTCTTTTTACATTCATGAAGTTTTAATGTGATATTTTCGTTTTCACGTACAATGAAAATTGCTTTGATATCCTGCATTGGTAGCATATATGCGCAGTTCTTATTTTATTGTATTTTCCATTTTAGCATCGTACACGAAAATTTCATTTCTTTCTTAACCATAAACATCTAAGAGAAGTGAGCATGTAGAGCATTTTGTAGTCTTATGTTTTTCCACGTCTTCGGAAAGTTGCAGAAAACATTTCTCCGAAGAATTATGTTTCCCTTGTATTATTTGTACACTACTTAAGCGTTGATTACAACCACATTTACAGTATTACATAGGATGTTTTCGAAGTTCTAGCAATTTAAGTATATATTTTTTATCTCGCCAGTTTTCTTCATATTATCATGCATATTCTCAACATAATCCAAATTTTATTGAATACTCTTATCCAATTGAAAAATTAACTTTTCAGCCCGTCCTCAAAGAACATTTTCAGTTTCTCCTCTCCCTCCTTACGGCAGGGCTAAATTCTCATATCTAAACACCCGTAAATGTTTTTCTTTAAATGTTGGTGCAGAATACTTCTCGGTGACAATGAAAAAATCGGAATTTTCTGTCACCCTCCTGTAACAAAAAGAAATTTCCTCTTCTGTTGTAGAGTTCTTCACTTTGTAATTCTAAGTTAATGTTAGAAGTGAAGAATCTTAAGAACTTATAAGCGAATAATCGCTTAAGTTCGGGTGACAAGAAACAACAATATAGAAGGGTAACTAACCCTTTATTATTCCAATAAGATTTAACAAAACTCAGCCTGGGAGTGTACAAACAAAGCCCTGACTTCGGCTTGAACTTAAGAGACTAAGAATTAAACTAAAACTAAGATTAACTAAAAAATATAGCCGAAGCTATCAAGATTCAAATCGAGTTGGGCCCTTAACTTATATGACTACGAAGCTTAGCAAGGGCCTGAGTACGCCCGAGCGTAATAATACCTTTGAGAGAGAAAGTGGCCAAAAAGGCAGACGCGCGTAAATCAGAAGCTCTGATGCTCTCTCCCTCTATAAGTAACTTAGTGGTTTAAATACCACTCCTCCTCATTAAATATTCAGCAAGATTCCAAAACTACGTTCTGGTCGGAAGTAGTAAGTTGAAGTTAACAATTTGACAGGAAAGGAACTTAAAATTTAATGTTAATAAAATTAACATAATCCTTACACTGTTATCGCAAAATATAAGCTACAAATATGCGCCGCCTGCATCAGTCAAACAACTGGTACTTAACAGTATAGCACGGGATAGCACATGAAAATGTCAAGAATGTGAATAAATGGTAAATATACTAGAAGCACGTAAATATACTAGAATACTTTAC